AGGGAAGCCTTCCCCCAAATACCTACGGGGTTGTTTTGTTTTTTTTTTTTAAGATTTATTTATTTATACAAGAACTGGGGTATAGGCCAGAGGCGCGGGAGGGGGAGAGGATTCACCAGAGACAGAGCAGGGAGCAGAACAGGCAAGCGGACCAAAGACACTGCTGAGGGGAGCAGCGGGTGAGACCGGAGAGGTCTGCCGCGCCATGTGGGTATCTCCCTGGCCAGCTGGGACTCGAACCTGCGCTGCAGAGGTTGCGGACAGCTTCACAGTGCTGTGCTCAACCCGCTGCACCACTAGGGAGGCCCACACCTGTAAGTTTTCGTGCACATGTCACTTCTGAGAGTCCTTCCCCGTCACGTGCAAACCCCACCCTCACTCCTACCGCTGCTCACATCCCCCTAACATGGACCCTGCCTTCCCTCGCCCTTGGGCTCCCGATTCTTGGAGTCCTTCCCAGGCCTCCAGAGCCTCCCCAGGTGAGGTGGGGGGGAAGGTAAGGGGGTGGGAAGAGGGGGAGGGGTGGGGGCACCTGCCACGGAGCAATGACTTGTGCAAGATGCTCCCCTTGAATGTCTGGACGATCTCTAGAAACTGAAGTTCCAGGAGAGGCGTGTCTACACACCCTTCTAAGTGAAGGACTGATCATCTCACTTCTACATTCTTCTCCTCTAAGAAAACATCAAAACGACAAGTTACCCACTCATTCCCCCTCCGAACTTAACTTTAAACTCCCTGCTCATCTGCTCCTGACCACTCACCGTCCACGTTAGGGTATTTCATCAGCAAACACCCGGAGACAAAACTGCCCTTGGAGTGACAGCAAGTTCTGTCCGTGTGTTATTTGTGGAAGAAGAAGGATTATCTTCTCTGGCAGTTTTGGCAAGAATCTGACATTTCAGTTGATTCACCCTCATGGACACCCCTGGAGCCATATCCTTCGCCCCAGCTGGATCACACAGGAGTAGAGGAGAAGTGGTGAGAAGCTAGAGTTTGTGAATAGAGAACAGCCTCCAGGAATCCCCAAGGAACCAGCAGGCTCCTCTGGGGGTGAAGACAGATGTCAGCATCAGCCTAAAGGCATGGGACACGCCACCAGATTATGTGATAATTTACTAATTATCTGACCCCAAGCACAGGTTAGTACATTAAATATTTACAGAAGCCTTGAGGTAGGAATAGGATCCCATTTTACATAGTGGTAAATTGAACATTATAAAATAATCTGTTCCAATTTCTACACCTGGGAACTCGTAGAACTGGCGTCCACACCCACCTGCCTCCGGCCCCGAGAGTGTTCTGCTCCATGCGCTGCCTCCAGAGCTCCGGGCGGATGCTGTGCCTGGAAGTCCCTGGTCCAGCGCCCCAAGGTCCTCATCACTGGGGTCAGGGCCGTCTCCCTGTTACCCAATTCCTGGGTGGACAAAACATTTGTGCTCAGCAACCTTTACAGTTTCATTCACACCCCAGGTTTCTTGAGATATTAATAGTATATAACCTGTGAGCTTAAGGCCTACGAGGTGATAATTCCATACGTTTATTTTGCTAAATTATTAACGTTAACAAAATGTTAACAAAACGTTAACACATCCAATTCCTAACATCATTACCTTTTTGTTGTGATAACACGTAAGACATTCTTAACAGCTTTCAGGTCTATGATTCAGTATTGATAATTATGTCAAGATCTGATATTAGATCCCCAGAAGTTCATCTATGTCTCATAAATAGAAAGGTGTGTCCTTTGCCCAACATCTCCCCATTTCTCCTACCACTTCAGGCCCTGGCCACGACCATTCTTCACTCTGTTTCTATGCTTTTGGCTTCTTTGGGTGAGGGGCTGTGAGGAGGCAGGGCCCTGAGCCCGAGGCCACGTCCTGGGGAGGATGCAGGTGGCTGGGGGTGGAGACCGCTCTGTGTCAGTCCCTCCGCCAGCCACTCCCTCTAACTCACCCCACTCTAGAGAGCAGGCCTAGCTTCTATTTCATAGATAAGATGGTGACAAGGGATTCTAATTTCTCCACAGTCATACAGAAAATCCTTGGCAATTTTTTTTTAAAGATTTATTTATTTATGCATGCAAGAGCTGGGGTACAGGCCAGAGATGCAGGGGGTGAGAGGATTCACCAGAGACAGAGTGGGGAGCAGAACAGGCAGACTGACTGAAATACACTGCTGAGGGGAGCAGCGGGTGAGACAGGAGAGGTCTGCTGCACCGTGTGAATTGCTCCCTGGCCGGCCCAGGGACTGAACTCGTGCTGCAGAGGCTGTGAATTGCTTCATAGTGTGGTGCTTAACCCCTTGCGCCACCAGGGGGGCCCTTTGGCAAATTCTTAAACTCCTCTGCACCCTATTCTCCTCTCTGAATTATTGTGAGGATGAATTAGTTCATGTGAGCCCGGTGTCGGCTTTCCTTGCTGGTTAGGCTAACCGTGGAACAGCGAGCAAGCCCCACCGCCCCCTCGTGGACTCTGCATGACTTGCAGGCGCTGCTCTGGGAAAAGACTTTCAGTTCACTCTCCAGCACATAGAGAAAAAAAAAAAAAACACAGTATGTTTGATGACTGAGCTGCTTCTTCTCCCTCCCTCCCTGAAGACGTGGCACTTTGTCATACGCCACGACCATAAAGCACAATCATCTCCCGCTGCCATCTGCAGGGGTCTCTGACCTCTTCTAAACTGGGGACACCACCCTCCTCTCTAGCCCTCAGGAGGGCCTTGGTCTGGGGAGGGCTGGACTTTCTCTAGAAGCAAAAGACACTGACCCTGCAAGACCGGACAGTTCAAGATCTTTCTATCCAATGTCACTGACAGGGGGTAATTGACAGCAGGACCTGACCCTGACCAGATACTGCAATCAGGATTCTCTAGAGGGGAGTGGGGGGCAGTGGGGAGAGGACACCCCCTCATCTCCGAGGAATCTGCCCCCAGCTGCATCAGGCTGACCTGAAGACGGGACCTACATGAGGGAATGGAGAATCCAAGAAATGGGAGGTGGTGGTTTGCAGCCTTCACCTCACCCAGTTTGCACACTTGCTTTTTGACGCTGAGTTCACACACGTGGTGTCGGAACCCAAGTGTGTATGTTGGGAGTGTCCTTTGGAAGCTGGTGAAGGGGGCAGAGATGTGGGTAAGATCCTGCCTTTGTGGTCAGGGCATCACGCTTGTAGCCTGTGACTGCTGAGGTCACAGAGGCCTGGGGCTGTGGGTAATGCAGGGAGGGCTGTGCGGCTTCCTGGTGAGCGGCTAAGAGAAGGAACCAACCATCCAGAGATGGTCTGCATTAGGGCCCCCTGTAGCCAGTGCTAATGACACCCCCATGCTGGGCACCCGTTTGTCCATAATCTTGTTTCTGGTCATGAAAAACAGTTGGGCCAGGGCAACGTCCCCGGAACAGCAATCGGAATTGTTACATGAGGAAGTGTTTCTGGTAAAGCTCGCATGGCCCAGCATGGTTGTGTGTGCACGTGTGTATGTGTGCACGAGTGTGTGCAGCAGCATGGACGGGGAGCACCCCAGGACTGGGCCCCGAGTTCCCACTCACTGTTCTCGTCTGTGCACACCCACACCGGGGAGCCCGACGCTGCATTCACGGGGCAGGCGGACAGCCCGGCTGTGCCTGCTCTCAGCAGCATCGCCGTCCCTATTTTCAGATGATACAAGTTACCGAACAATCAAAACCCGGCCACTGTTATGAAAAAGAAATTAAAGTTTCAGGGGCCTCCCCGGTGGCGCAGCGGTTGAGCGCTGGGTTGCAAAGCTGCCCGCGGCCTCTGCGGCGGCGGTTCGATCCCCGGCTGCTCCCCGGCCACCGGAGGAGGGTCCCACATGGCGCGCAGACCTCTCCTGCCGCCCGCTGCTCCCCTCAGCAGTGTCCTTCGGTCCTTCTGCCTGCTCTGCTCCCCGCTCTGGCTCTGGTGAATTCTCTCACCCTCCCGCGCTTCTGACTGTACCCAGTGCTTGTATAAACAAACAAACAAACAAATAAACATGCCTCTATTAAAAAAAAAAAAAGAAATTAAAGTTTCAGAAGTGTGTGAAGAACATTTTAATCTCCATCATTCCACCCTCCAGATTAACCAGGATTGACCAGGATTGACCAGGATTGACCAGGGTGGGGCTGTTCATCCTCTTTTCCACGCGTACATGGAGATGATCTTGCCAAAAAACTTGGTAACAGAACTTTGTAAACTTTTAGAGAAAGTAGTACGTTGTGGGGATGCTATTAAATCTTCTCTGAAACCTGAGAAGTGAGGTTGCTCAGGCCGGAGGATCCCTGCAGACCTCACCCCACCCCTGAAAGCTGGATTCTGAAAGGAACAGCCCGTCCACCTTCCACCTTCCCCAGGGGAGCAGCTGTGCCATCTCCGTCTGGAGCGACACGGGCTCCCCCTTGTGGCGAGAGCGAGTACAGCCACCCTGTCGCTCTCCAGTGCCAGACTCGTGCAGTGAAACCAGAGGGGCCTCTTTTTCCCCACCTTGCTCTTCATGGTCTCAGCAATCCCCAGGGCTTGATGGAGCAGTGCACAGGCTAACAGCCACAGGGAAGTTAAAAGGGATTCATTGTTAACGCATGTCTTAAAGAACATTATATGGGGTCTGCATAAAAATCCTCTTTCCTTTCCCCATACCCTGCTCTGCAGTGACCCCAGCAGCACCCCCTTCCACCTCTCTCCCCCTTTAGATTTCCCCCTCCACCCAGAAATGCATCACGCACATTCTCTATGGCCTTTCCTTCTGAAGGGGAGGGAATGGACATCCGCTGGCAATGAGAGCTTTCTCTTGGGAGCTGGTGAACATATTCATACAGGTTTGTTCCTTAACACCTGTATTTTAACTTTCTTGAAAAGTAGCTTTTGCCTGAAAGCAGAGGTGGTGGTCATTTTAACCGACAATGTAATGCTCAGATCAAACTAGTTCTAGAGAGTGAAGGTGGGATTTAGATCATCAGTTAAGATGGAAAAACAGTAATATAACAGAGCAAAGGCAAACCGACAGACCTGGGCTGAACTCCGGCTATCTCTATCAGTAGCTGCGTGGCCTTTGGCAAACTTCTTCACCTCACTGAACATGTTTCCTCGTCTTAAAATACTTCAGGGTGCTTTTTAATACAAATCTCCAAAGCAGGGAAAACAGTGCACTGCAAAGCCCTATCATCTAGGTGGCGCCTATAGAACCGGGGATAACCATGGCCACAGCTGATGGAAGACACGAGAGACAGGTACTTCACAGCAATGGGCACAGATGCAGGCCTAGGATGAGCAGAGCTGGGTTCCAGAGGTTAAGAGGGGGTGACAGGAGGCGGCTTCCATACACTTACCTAGGCAGACCAGGGTACTCCCTCACTCTTGGAGGCCATGCAGATCCTGCTCACTAGGTTAATCCTGCCCCGCCTTCTGCTGAGCTCACAGCCAGCAGACATTGAGAGACCAGAGGTGGCTGGTGAAAAGGTGCCCGTTTGCTCTTTATCTGAATGGCAAGTGGAATCCATCTTCTGGCACAGACCTCCACTTACCAGGTTGCAGCTTCCATCACACTAGGAAGCGCACACCTGCTCCTCTAGCTAGAGGAGGGGTCTGTTGAGGGCCAGGCATGAAATATTTTGGCCTGAAGGCCACAGGGTCTGTCACAGAATTCCATTCTCCTGTCTGGTGCAAGAGCAGCCGTAGATAAACTGTAAACAAAGGAATGAGACTATATTGCAATAAAATTTTATTTATGAACACTAGCATTTGAATTTCATATACTTTACACATGCCACAAGATATCTTTTTTCACCTTTTAGAAAATGTAAAAACTATTCTTAGTTCACAGGCTGTACAGAAACAGGTGGCGGGCGGATTGGCCAACATCATAGTTCGCTAAGCCCCGAGCTAGAGTTACAGAGACCCTTCCACGTGTTCTCCGGCATGCAGGGTGGGAGTGACGACGGCAGAGGCCACCGCAGTATCCTTCTAGCTACTCCAGCTGCGTGGTCCCCTCTGACGCGTATCCATTTCACTCCACTCAAGCATTTACTGGGCACCAGCTCAAATTCCGATTCTGTGCAAGATCCTTAGGACCTGAGGGGAAATCCAACATGGCCCTTCTCTCAAGTTCTCACAGGATCAGAAAAGATACCAAGTGCAGGTAAACATCGGGGTGTCTGAGAACTCACATACATTCCGAGGACCGCCGAGACAAACGACAGTGGCTTAAAACAGCACAAAGGCCAGGAGCAGGGGTCTGAAGTCAAGGTGTCGGTGGCAGAGTTGGCGGGGTTGGTTCCTTCAGGAGGCCCAGAGAACCCCCTTCCTGGCTTCCCGCCAGCTTCTTGGTCCCTGGGTATGGAGATGCTCATCTCTGGCTTTTTCTGGCGGCCTTCTCTTCGTGGGCGTTCCCTTCATGTCTAAGAACTTGTCCTAGAAATTAGGACCTTGCCTATTGCAGGATGATCTCATCCCCAAATCCTTATTCTAATTGCAAATACCCTTTTTTCCCAAGTGGTTCCAAGAATCACTTCCAGATTCTGAGTGGACCTATCTTTTGGGGCCCCTACTGAACCCATTACAATACTCTTAGAAGGATGTGGCCAGTGTTATCCTGAAGGCTTCCTGGAGGTGACACCAGCTGGTCCTTGGAACATGAGAGTTGGTGCACGTCAGACAGACATGAGGGAGGGCAGACCACAGCTATGAGAGCTTGACAACACACGACTATCGTAACAGCAAGAGGGCCTGGCGGAGAGCAGGTGTGAGGCAGGAGAGCTTGTCACAAAGGCCTGAGAGGTCACGGGGATCCTGCGTGAGGGACTTTGGGTGTCAGGACTGTGCACTATTAAAGCAGAAGGTCACAATGGAAGCCTCCAAGAGTTTCTTCCACAATCAACCCTTTCAATCATATCCTAGCTGACACGCCATTAAACCACCAGCACGATCCAACTAGACAAGCCTCGAGTAGCTTATCCCTGTCATGACACTTGGATTTCATGAATAAGGTTTTATGATCTTAAAGTAACAGAGAGGCTAGCTTCAGCCTCTCACAAGTGAGTGAGATCATGGCCTTCAGCCTCCTCCTGGGAAGAGCCTCCCACACTCCCTCTCCTGCCAGGGTTAAGCACTGTTTTTCTTTCCACACTCTTGGCTTCCGGTCGCTGACCTCTCACTCCGGGGAACAGCCAGCCAAGCAGGAGTGTAGTTCTCCTTCTAGAACTACATTCACAAGTCAATCAAGAATGGAAGTCAAGTTCATGACAAGATCACTGGTTGCGCTGCAGTCAGCAAGATTATAAAAACAATTAAAATTGTGTACATAGATGATAATGAGCAAAAATACTGTTGAGAAGACCCAGCTCTTCCCTCCAAGAAGGGTAAATGACATGACGTGCCTATGCCTCCCATGTAATTCCACACGGGGAAAGCTTTAGAAGCCTAAAAACAAAACATCAGTAAACCAAGCCACACTTAGAAAAATGAAAGCTGATTTTTATTTTATCATCAACAGCCATTCTTTAAACATGAACATGCATACGTAATAGTCTACGCACACATCACAGTTTGTAACGTTAGTTAATAAAGGTTAAACACACAACATACATCCTTACAAAAAAAGTCAAAATGCAAACCTAAAACGTTAAACAAAGTCTAATTTAAAAAGTTTCTGTTGGGTACCATTCGTACAGCACAGTTAATTTAAACATTTTCATTTTGGCTGCACATGAAAAAAGCGGCAGTAGAAAATAAAGTCATTGAGGGTTTTTTTAAATAGCAGTATAGGCAGTTTTGCCATGCAGGAGAAGCAATATTAAATATTAGTTTTCAAAAAAAAACCACATTTAAAAATATTTAGTTCAAGTCACAGAATTTTTCTCAGTAGAGATCCCAATGCAATGCATAATTAGCTGCCTCAGATGGCCCATTTGAAGGATTATGCTCCTTCAGAGTATAACCTTACTGATTTTGGCACAGAAAGGAAGTCTTAAGAACAAGAACATGATTAAAAAAGAGGGAAGAGGAACAGAGGAAAGAAATAAAGAGCAAGAGTAAATGAGATCGAAATTGCAATCACTAAAAACTGTGCATTCTCAGTCACTGCAGAATACTGTCTTCTGTCTACAGCAGGCGCTTATTCCAGAACTGTTATTGCAACATGGATTTGATTTGCTTGGAGGTAGTCTCATCATTCAAATGTTTTGTTGTGTACCTAAAAGTAAAAGAACATCAATTTCAGGGAAGTAAAAAGAAACAGTCCCTGTGCTGGGTTCTTCACTACCAGAGGAGGCCTCACTGGGCAGGCAAACCTGCGCTCACAAACTCGTTTCATCCAGTTCTCTGAACCCTGTTCAGGCTCTGCCTAGTTTATCCTCCCTACTCCCTTTTAAGCAGAACATCCAATGGCTGTTTAAGTTAGAACTAACTCGTTGAAAAGGTCTGGTTAAATCCTAAAGTCAACAAATAGCTGTAACTTCTCACTCAGAGGAAAATCATCGTTCCTCCATCCAGGGACCAGCAAATTAGAACCTGTGGGGCAAGTCCAACCCACCACCTGTTTTTATAAAGCCTAAGCATGCATTTATATCTTCAAATGGCTGAGAAAGCAAAATCAAAATTTAAGAATATCTCATGAAAACACGGAAATTACATGAAGTTCAAAATCCAGTGTTTATACCAAAAGTACTGTGGAACTCAGTCATACTCACTCATTCAAGTAATGTCTTGGTTACCTACTTGCTAAATGGCAGAGGTGAGTGATTGTGACAGAAATCATGTGGCCCACAAACAAAATACCTGCTTACTCTCCAAACCCTCATAGAAAAGTTTGCCACCCTGTTCTATTCTGAACCTGGACTGCTCCACTACTGCAGCTGTGGCATAGCCCCAAACACTTAGGTTCTGGAAGGCTCGCTCTGGCTGTGAGGAAGTGGGGGCAGGAAGAGCAGAAGAGGAGCTAACCAAAGGGCTGTTACAGGGGCTGAATGTCCAAGGCTCACACCAGGTTAATAGCAATAGAAACAGGTCCCCAATGCTTAAATTGGGATATATTGTGGAGATAATTCATAGAACTTAATGCTAAATGGGCAGACTTGGCCCATTTCACATATAATCTATAAGAAATATATCATTTTAAGGACCTCCCAGGTGGCGCAGTGGGTTGAGTGCAGAGCTGTGAAGCTGTCCGCAGTCTTTGCTATGCAGGTTCAATCCTGGCCGGCCTGGGAGATACCCACATGGCGAGGCAGACCTCTCCTGTCGCGCCCGCTGTTCCCCTCAGCAGTGTATTTCATCAGTCTGCCTGTTCTGTTCCCCACTCTGTCTCTGGTGAATCCTCTCACCTTCCCACGCCTCTGGCCTGCACCCCTGTGCTTGTATAAATAAATAAACCTTAAAAAAAAAATATATATATATATATATATATATCATTTTAAGCAGGTGCACACAGATGGTCTTTCTGTATTAGAGAAATTTACTCAATATTTTTTAGTTCATTTCAAATTAATTTAAAAATTGAAGAAAGTACCTAAACTCTCAAATACTTGGAGATGTAAAGAGACAAATGTGTTTATTAAGTACCTCCTATACTCTATCTTTCTTAGAAGTCACCCCAAACTGTTTCCATATCACTAAAGAGACACCTGAGTGCCTGGCACATTATAGGTGCTCAGTTAGTATTTGTGGAAGGAAGACAAGCAAGTAAGCTAATCAGGCTGGGAAAAAAAGTTTCTTTAAAGAAGTATTTACATTAAGTGGTAGGTGATGTAGCAAGGGCCTAACCTTTCTGTTTCACTTCCCAATTGCACATAAAGTACACACAGTTACATGTATCCCTACTGATGTCAGGAAGAAAAATGTCCAACATCCACCCCTTCGCTGGTTTCCCTGCCCCTCCTTTACACAGGGAAGAGCGAAGACTCAAGGAACGTGCACAGGCGTCACCACGCAGCAGCGTCCTGTGACGGCCCCAGGGTGAGTGCTTCCCTGTCCACCCAGATACCGGATCTCGCTCTTCCTGTGGGATGTGGCACAAGCTTCTAGCCATCCTCAGATCCTTCCCTGGCCAGAGCCAACTGAGAACCTTATCATGCCAACGTCTTCTATTACCAAGAAGAGCCAGTAACATCTACCTCGGTTGGAAAAGAATGCACGGATGTGGACGGTATCATTTCATCGTGTCTGCCTAAACGGTCCCTTTCCAAGAGCATATTACTCTTCTATTAGAAAGGCAACAATTACTGACCCTGACCATTCAATCTAATAAAGAAGGCAATTAATTATCTAGCACTGAACCTCAGCTCCCAGATCAAGTGCTCTCCCGCCCCCTCCTGATCAAAGGCATTTGGCTCCATACCGCTACCTGTAAAATGGAGACAAGACTGGTTGCTGCCCTACCATGAAGCTGGAGGCAGTGTAGAACCACCACAGGAAATTTAAAACAATCACTGTGCACAACTACCTGCTGGCTCTCAGGGAAATGGCACGCGCATCCCTAGTGAAGCAGCTATTCACTAAAAAGGAATATTCACCAAGAGATGTGTTCCATGTTGTCGAGGTATAAATAAGACACACTTGCCTAGTACTTTTAGGACTAGAAAATGCTTTCTTAACAGCATCCGCTGTGCTCAGAGGGAAGCCTGTTACAGGCTACGCTGATTTAGTTTGAACAGTGTTTCTCAGAGGAGCAGAGCATGTGTGTCGGCGAGGGCGTTGAACTGTAACATGAACTGTAAAATTACAGTGTCTACACCTCCACCCCAAACCAAAGGAAGAGCACTTCTGGAGAATGCCTGCGACTCTCCACTTCATCTCCACCCAAAGCCACTGAGGCGTCACACCATGCACCCAGGGCTCTCGGCGCAGCATCAAGCGTACCAGGTTTCAAGAAGGCAGTCCGGGTTTGAAAACCAATTCCAACATTTACTAGCCATGTACTCTTAAGTCTCCTAAGAGTTTAAGGTGGCCAAGTACCTTAACTATCTTTTGCACAGAGGTGACACTCCCCACACCCCAAAACACCACTATAAACTACAGAGACAGGGCCTCCCCGGTGGTGCAGCGGTTGAGCACTGGGTTGCGAAGCTGCCCGCAGCCTCTGCAGCGCCGGTTCGAGCCCCGGCTGCTCCCCGGCCACCGGAGGAGGGTCTCGCATGGTGTGCAGACCTCTCCTGCCGCCCGCTGCTCCCCTCAGCAGTGTACTTCGGTCCTTCTGCCTGCTCTGCTCCCCGCTCTGGCTCTGGTGGATTCTCTCACCCTCCCGTGCTTCTGACTGTACCCAGTGCATGTATAAACAAAACAAACAAACAAAATAAATTAATTAATTAATTAAAAAAAACATGCCTCTAAAAATAAAAAATAAATAAACTACAGAGACAAAAAGTATTACTAATTGTAACTACCCCATAACATAGGTACACTGCTTAACCTTACAGGCTTCCCCAGGTGAAAAAATAAGGAGATAAATACACTCACATGAATAAAAATTGTTTAAGAGTTGTCTCTGCAACAAACTCTTATTTAGAATTCCATTATATATTTGGAAAGAAAACCTAAAACTGACCAGCGGCTCTTGCATCAATGCAGCGCTTCTTCCCGCCAACACAGCCTGCTTTGTGGGAGACTTTGGTCGCATCTTTCACTCACTGCCACTGCCCTCCTCTGCCCTCATTCAATGTAAAAAAAGGCTGAACTTCCTTTAAACTCTGAAAATAAAAGCTGAGTTTTTTACTTAATGTTTGATGCACAGTCTCTTCAAAGTACAGAAATAATACATGTTCCAGACCTCAATTATCTCTTACTGTTTTAAAAAAGGTTTCCTGATACTTGCTGCCCTTGGAGAGACTAATCACCCAGAAATAAAGGGGCTCCAGAGAACAACAGGCTGACTGGGGCACAGGAAGTCATCAGCCAGGGCTCCAGTGGAAAAGACTCACAATCCAACAGGCAAAACCCAGAAGTCTGCGCACTGTAAAAACCTCCAGAGTAAAAATTCCGAAAACACGGCTTCTAATGACTCATGGCTGAAATGGCTTGACTTTCTACGGATTTGTTACTGTTGAATTATTTTCCTTAATCTTTCTGATGTTCATTTAGAATAATCTCCTTTAGACATGCAGTCACTTCTTAAAAAAATACATTTCATAATCTAAATAAAATCACTCGATGGTTCAACTGAGCAGAAGCGATAGAGACTGGATTTTGTTTCCTGATGCACCAGGCAAGAGTAGTATTCCAGAGGAATAAAAACCTGCTTGCTCACAATACGTGGGGGAATATAGTACTGAAATGGAAATCATTTTATTCTGACATGTGAAAAGTAAAGATTGTGATCTCAGAAGGTCAACATATAAATATTTCTGCGGTCATGTAATATTTGTGTTTAAACACAAGATAATCAAGCAATGAACAAATCATCTTTTATGTTGGGGAAATTATACTGCCAATTAAATCTCTGTAGTTAAGAAGTTTTAATGTGCTAAGATTTTCATTTAAAAATACTCCAGCATTCTTAGGAGCTTTGGTAACTAAATCAAGTAAGTCGTAGCTGGAAAAAGAAAGATAATAATTGTCTGCTTTACTTCTATTATAAGACAGACACAAAAATAAGAGAGATCTTTATGTGTGAACCCAGAAATGCAACTACACAATATAAAGGGAAAGGAGCTAACTATAGAACAGTCTGTTTGGCATCGTTTTGTAAATATTATATAGAGCTAGGCCTTAACAAGAATAAAACTGTAAGGCGATACAACAAAAAGTTAATACTGATTTATTTCAAAATAGGAAGATTTCAAGACTTTTCTTTAAATTTCTGTTTTATGAATTTTATTTACACTTAGTATTAAAACTATTTGAAAAATAAACAATAAGCAATTCCAGCTTCAAAAGGGCAAAAAGTGAAAGCCAAACGCTAAAAAGAAAGCTGCTTTGTTAGCTGCTTTTCTCATTTGCACACACACACACACACACACACACACACACATCATGATAAATACTGTGAGCAATATTTGAAAGCAAGATTACCAATGAAAATGAAATCTTCACATTTCTAAGTTGAACATACTAATATTCATATCCTTTGTGCTATTCACATTTGGAAGCATTTTCTTTACATTTATTTTCTCTATGAATCTATAACATGTAAATATACACACCTGAGAGCATTTAGAAGACCTTCTACACTATTAGGAGGTTGGTCCTTAAGAACTTTGATACAACCTTTCATCTAAGGAGAAAAGGAAACAGAAAAGGTAAAACGTCTGTTTTTTCAGGTAACCCTCATTTTTGAAACAGTAACACTTAAACTAGGACCACATCTATGGAACTCTTGAGACATTACATACCAGTGATGTCAAAATAATTATTCTTAAGACGGGGAAAAAAAGTACCCAAATGTTGTTATTTTCAGTGTGTCTGTCAAAGCTTTCGAAGAATCCTATCAGTCAAACTGAAGAACCACCCACAGTAAAGAGGAAAGTAAGGGCCTGCTAACCGAAGCCTTTCTGCAAAAGTGTTGAGCAGCCTTTTTTGGACAGTACGGACAGGCTGGCAAGGAAAACAGGAGCTTTCCAGATAGACAAAAATCACAACAACAATAATGAAAGTATATCACACACACACATTGCAGACCTGAAATGACTTGGGGGCGGAGGGGGGGTGGGGGTGGGAGTCTACAGAGGGCTGTAGGACTCATTTAAACTGGTTCTTGTGGTAGGGACAGGTCACAGGTCACAGGCTATTAGGAAAAAAGGGAACAACTCAACAACACCACACCACAGGAAACCATGGAGATGTGGGTTCAAAATCCCACTCTACCATTTCAATTACATTACTTAACTTCCCTAAACCTTAATCTGTAAGTACAAAGGAGCAGCTAGCACCTAGATCCTGCAAGTACTTTCAGAGTTAAATGGAAACAAATGTAAAATCCTTGGGAGGCAATAATGACTCAGTAAATGTTAGCTCATTTTTCTTTACAGGATGGATATGATTTCAGTCAGGAAGACTGACCAGGGCAATCTGTACTCCAGATAAGAAGTGCTAAGAGCCAGGACTGCCATGAAAGAGAAATTAGAAGAAAATTCTCACCAAGTACCAAGAGGGTAAAGAGAGCTATTATAAAACAGAGAAACCAAGAAATTAACATAAATGTTTGCAGAGACAAGGTAATAGGCACATATGATGACGAATAGTGCAGAGGAGGGAAAAATATGTAAAGACTTTAACTCTTTGCTTATAGCGCTTCTACTAACATTTTATACAGATTGGGAAATGAATCTTTAGTTTGAAAGGCCTTTTGTCCAAAAAAGAATACAAAACCCCCACAAATTCTTATCTCTGATTATTTATATTGCCAAATATGCAGAGGGACCATTCAAGCCCAAGGTTTCCCTACAGGGAGACACAATAAAGATACAGTTATCCTCTGATCATCCAACTCCACCTGGACACAGGCTTGAGGAAATATGGTCAGACAGCAGAGGAGACTAAAATCCACCTTATCACAATTACAAATGCCAGTGATTTCCATTTATGAAAACTGTTTGAAATTACATAAAATGTAACTTACATCAATTTTTGAAGTTTTGGCAAATGCTCCCACTGGATGTACATGGTCATAGAGTATTATGACACCCACCATCACCCTCAAGCAGAATGATACTGTCTCCTCGTTTGTGAATCTGCTTCTATATTCCCTAGAGGGAAAAAAGATATGGATGAATATGCAGCACATCACAAATTAATGAGGTGCTTCAACTCGGAAAGACTTACCCTGCTGATGTCAAAAAGGGACGCTAACTTTATGACCTCTCTCCATGAGTTTCCCGGAGGGAGAGAGGAAGCAGGTTAAGTAGTTCTCACTTACACATGCTGGTCCCTAGAGGCACCCACCATAGTATATTATCCTTTCTGCCTGGCAGAGATCAGACAATTTTACAGAAATCAAAAGTAGCCCCAAAGTGAAATTCTGGGGATGGACGCTTTGTGAAGGATGGTACAATTGCCAATATGACAACAAAAGTCACTAGCTTAATAGACCTAGTGTGTTCGTTACTTAGGGGCTAACTTGATATAAACATTACCATATTGCTGGATTTAAATTTTACTGAAATTCAGACATATTCTTTTCTTATTTGGAAAAAGGAAATACAACTGTTGTCTCTCTGGAAGACAGCAAGGGACAGTAGTAAGAGCTTAGAACCAGGGTAGAGTCACGCAGGCACTTGTGTGGGGCATGGTGCCCAAGTCCCTTCCTGTGCCAGGATCTTACTCTCCTCAATGATGGGGATGAGGATGGGTTATAGCTGCCCTTTTACTTCATTATGCTTTCCAGTAAGATGACATATATAATAGCATTTTAGAAAATAAAAAGCTCCACAAAGATACCAGTTATCTAGCAAAACCATCTCTTTCTCAGGGATGCAGGAGTCCTTCTGCCTGATCACAGGGAAATCCAGTCAGACATTGTGGTATGAGAGGATAAACCCCCAAAAGAAGTCACGTTCGTGTTGTAACAACGAAGACTATGATCTAACCCTGAGACAAAAGGCTAACTCTAGCCCTGTAGCAAACAGGCGATGTTCTTTACTGGAGAGAGAGAGACGATAAAAAGCATAACTAAAAAGCTTTGAAGTTTGTCCCCAAACCCCAAAAACACCGCACAATCCCCTTTCCGAAGCATCTAAATTAGTCTGACTTAGGCTTCACTCTTAATCAGAAGTTAGATTACGCTGCCCAATTATTTTAGTTTTGCTCATATACTAACACTGGGTTTTTGGAAAATACTTCATTTCTACTTCCAAATACTACATGTCCCTAGCAGGACAACACTTCAGCAGACTGTTCAAGGGAAAACTCAGCCAAGTACTCACGGGGTTTCCAGCATGACTCTGCAGACGCTAGCCATGGTGCTTAGACAGTCTGTGGTATTTTCTATCGGTAAATTTTTATTCTGTAAAAGTACATGGAGAGTAAATAAAAGGAGAAATGACAGTTACTACTTACACATAATTTAAAACCTGACATAACATGAAAAATCAAGTTTATAATTTGGTTCCTTCCTAACTGTGGAAAAGGCATTAGATTCCAGTTACTGCTCTAAGCTCTCGGGTAGGACTATGAGCAAGACAGCTAAGGAACTTGTGTTCTAGCTTGGAAGAAACAACCACAAGAATCAGGACTGCTAGAGTTAGAAGGTGTGTGGATTTTATCTTAAGGGTACCGAAAAGTTACTGGAAACATTCTAAGCAGAGGAGGAAGAGAATGTAATGTGGCTTACGTTTTAAGAATCGCTTTGGCTGCTCTTTGGAGAAAGGATTAAGGGGTAAGAGAACAAGAAATAAGAACAGTTGGAACATAAATGCAATAACCCAGATAAGAGCGTGGCGGGGTGACTGAGAAGTTGCCAAGGGAGGAGTTATTTTTTTCTATTTCATGCTGGATTTTAGAGGAAGAACCAACAAGAATGCTGGAGGAACAAATATCAGTTGTGAGATAAAGGACTTTAGAATACTAACCCCTGAATTACTTGCTTTTTACAGTGTTAATATTAATTGAGACAAGAGAGACTGGAAAATGGGCAGGGTTAGGAGGAGAAACTAAAGACTTTGGTTTAGCCAAATGCAGCTAAGTTGTCAACACTACAACTGGGAGACTGAAGTCAGGCAGGCTGACGTGGGCACTGGGCCTCAGGTAAGGGGAAAGAACTCAGTGTGTACCTTTGGGGGTCTGTTGGCTTAGAGTTGGCAGTTAAAGTCACGGGGCTTACCAAGGTCATCCTGTCTGTAGAACGGAAGGAGGAGACAAGACAAAGAGTAACTTGCCAGGCAATACTTACCTCGGATACAAATTTTGTTGTGGCGTCACTTAAGGTTTTCAGCATTGGGGTTGCCTCAGCATAAAACAAAGACATTCGATTTGCCAATTCATTATTTACTTCATTTTCTCCTTCTGCCTGTGTGAAAAATAAGAGCACTTGATACCGGTTCATAAAATTACAAAATATTATAAAGCATTTATATAAAAGGCCCTAGACAGAGTGTCTAATCTCATTAATGCCTGTTAATGTACTAATCATCCTTCACAAATTATATATTTTTTTAATTTTTTGTTTTTTTAATAGAGGCATGTTTTTATTTATTTGTTTGTTTGTTTGTTTGTTTATACATGCACTGGGTACAGTCAGAAGCGCGGGAGGGTGAGAGAATTCACCAGAGCCAGAGTGGGGAACAGAGCAGGCAGAAGGACCGAAGTACACTGCTGAGGGGAGCAGCGGGTGGCAGGAGAGGTCTGCGCGCCATGTGGGACCCTCCTCCGGTGGCCGGGGAGCAGCCGGGGATCGAACCGGTGCCACAGAGGCCGCGGGCAGCATCGCAACCCAGCACTCAACCGCTGCGCCACCGGGGAGGCCCACATAAATTATATTTTAGACCCTCACATACACAGAAATCTTAGTCTTTAAAAATAGAAAGATTAAAAATGACATTAAGCATTTTTAAAAATAAATTAACCTCTTTTTAAATTCTTTAAATGACATCAAGCAATTAAATAAAACCTTGATGAGCTGTATACCCTATATAAGGAATTGTTCTAATGCCTGGGGGGATAAGAGGAGGACTAGGCCACTGCAGCCTGATGCTATCAGGAATAACATCTAAGCACCCATGGAACAGCCACCAAAAAAACCTAAGAGGCGATGGAAAAAGGAGGTGAGAAAAAGACTAAGTCAGGCTGGAAGGAAAGGAAAACGACTCCTAGCAGAGGAAGGCTCCCGCGGGCGAAGGGGCACAGACAGGTCCAGGTATTCCAACCAGTCCCCAGAGCAGCGGGCACACTCTCACATGACCTGGTAGAATGTAATTCCATGCAGGTCATGCATTCCGTGTAATAAAGGGCATCACCTACTTAAAGCTAAGATTGGAAAGGAAGGCTGGGGTCAGAGTCTTCAGTGCTAGTCGAAGTTCATATTCTTCTTGTGTATGTAACAGGACGTCAATGAGAATGTCAGAAGGAATGACAACGAAGTCAATTTTCTTTCTTTTTTTCTTTTTTTCTTTTTTTGGGCAACACATAGATAACTATTTTTTTAAAATAAATTTTATTTTTATATTCCCCATACAATTGCAACCCCCTTATTTTGACCCCAATCCCTCCCCTCCCCGCCCCTCACCCCCCCATAGAGTGTCTCTGGTTCATAGTTTTTTGTTGATTTTTGATTTCTAAAGAAGGTTAGTTGATTACAGTGTGCAGACTTGACCAGAAAGGAAAAGTCTACAGGTCAAAAAATGAGCTTGACTGCTACAGAATGACTGCCAAAAAGAAAGTAAAAATTAGGCTCTCAACAGGGACATGAGTATTAAGAGATGAAAATGAAAATGGGGGTGGGAAAAAAGTGAGATTTCACTTGAAAACAAGTGGCTTTACCTATAATTAGGGAAGGTGAAAAACAGTGCAGCACAAAGATGACTCTAATGCCTTTGGATTTGAGCGATGGCAATATCCTGCAGCAACAGATTAGGGGTTTGCTTTTGTTTTACTTTACATTGGTGGGTATGAAAAGATAAACTACTGCAATGACTAGGGCTGATTCTAGAAAGGTCACACCAACTCGCACAATGCAGAACCTCTCAAAATCCCCAGAGAAAATAATATTTTCTTCATATTTAAGGTTTTGCTCATGAACAGTCACCTTTGGGGTAGACAAGGGTATTTACTAAATAGCTTAAGAAGAGGGAGCCAAGAGACTAACAAACCCAAAGAGGGGAGAAGAGCTGCTATGCCAGCCCAGGTGCAGGAGTGCTCAGAGCCCACACCCACTCTCCCCTCCTGATAGTATCCCAGGTCACCTGCTCCCCAGGATTCTGCCATTCTAAGAATATGGGGGACAAAAAACTCACAAAATTTTTGCATAGTTAAAATGAGAATATCTCAGTGAGGCACACCAGACATCCGTCATAATGCACTGTTACTTGAATAAAACTTTTTTTTATGAAAACAGAGAAATTTTGTATGCAGACAAAAATCAAATTCACTGAAGAAGCCTTGTAAATTCAAGGGAGTGTAACTAAAGGTAAACACTAGACAGTAGGCTACATTTTGCTTTCTTCCCACAGTTGTGGCTGCCATCATTCCTAACTTTTATTACTCACCTTAGTTTTACCTGAGTGAACAAATGAACACGTGAAAGAATAAACTGAGCTAGTTGAGAGCTGAGTTACTGTCACCACCCCTGAATCAAAGCAGTAACTTACTGGAACATTGTTGATCCTCATACGACTCAATGTCCTTCTGTAATAGCTGAAGTCATTCTGTATGGCAGGATTTGTCATCTAAACAAGACATTAATGAAAGAAAAATGTATTGTTTACTAAATGACAAGAGTAAAAATTAAGTGAAAAATCTAAGTACAGTTTTAATCAGGTAGGTAACACTGTCTTATTTGTAATGCATTCCTAAAACTTACCACGAAGATGACCCTTTGCACTTAAATCACGTTCCACTGGGCTCATTCTCAGGGAACAAGTGAAGCGCACAGACCGGTCTCAGTCATGACCAGTATACTTTCCTGCTTTTGAATAATTTCAAGTAATATACTAAAATCTTATTTACCAAAAAAAGGGTACAATCAAGTAAACAATAAGAAAGAATGTGTAGAAATGTGTGTTATACAGTAAAAAACAGGTATATGTGGTAAACAGGACGATCCTCAAAAAAAAAAAAAAATCACCGGTCCTCCAAGTCTTATAGCAGTAGCTGTCTGTGACACAATCGTAGGAGGCTGGAGCCAGGAATCCAGCTCTTCCATTTGTTAGACAAGATGCCAGAGAGGCCGGACAAGTTCAAGGACCAGCCTCAAAACAAGATACTGTGACAGAGACCAACACAGCACTCGGGTCTCCTGAGAGAAAAATGTCATGCATATTTCTTCACATTCCAAGAACAGGAGACAGACAGACAGACAGGAAGGGAAAGAAAAAGGGCCACCAGGGTGGGGAGGAGGGAAATGTCAATACTTTTACATGAAGGAATGTTGAAATAAACTGGAGGCGAGGATAAAGGAAAAAAGTACCAAAAAAAGATAGATGATGTTATTTCAGAGATATTTTTTAAATGGAGTTAAAGAAAACTGAATATTGGGTAATTTAATTTTTATTGTCCATATGTCAAAAAGATGTGTCATAATCTTAAATCCAGTCTTCCATTTTTGCTAAGGAGCACAGACATCATTTAAAAATATTCAGGCAAGTTCTTCAGCCACTTCCTCTTAGTGGCATTGAAAGGCTCACGGTTTTCACCATAATTGGGTGCAAGCAGAACATCCTACCTTGAGTTCATCAAACCGGAGTGTGAAATGAAGAATTTCTGCAAACTGTTTAGCAAGAGCCTGCTCTCGCTCTAGATGCTGGGTAGGAGAATATGGGGTACTTGTCAAGGCTCCCAGAAGACCTCTTAATGCTGCTTCTGAAGAAAAACAGAGTGGGCATAGTGTGTTAACATGCCTTTCAGAGGTGTGAACCCGTACCCCTAAAACAGATAGAGTGGCAGAATCCAACATTACTTCAAGAAACATAATTTTTTTTTAAAAGAGGGGAAAAATAAAAACGTCTTTATCTCTCTACTATTTAATTAAAAAGTGATCAATTTATAAATGTTGTGATTTCAATTCACATGAAAATAAGTTCTTTTAGGAAAAAATCTAAATATAATCATTCAAACTGAATACTGCTTAATAGAAAAAAAAAAAACTTTAAAATTCAATTTTATGATTCTGTGAACCCAAATTCAAAAGATACTGAGCTTTGCCACAGGGGTTTCTGTCTCATGGGGACTACTGTTTCAGTCTGGAGCCTTCCCAGTAGAGTTCGTTACTGAGGGAAGGCTGTAGGTCAGACAGTAACAAACTGCCTTCTCAGCTTCTGCCTAGGGCTTGTTATAGATGCCACCTCTGGAGGTCATAGTGAGTGAGCTAATCCAACATTTGACTCCTATTATCAAAATTTATTCAGAAATTCCCAAAATTAATTGTGCTTATGTCACTTGGCTGTCTCAGATCCACACAGCTCATATCCTTAGGGTTCTTTTCTGAGAATTCGGGATCGGGTCTTTGACAGTACATGGATCGCAGTTGACAAGAACAAGTGGCTCTTGTCACTAAAGGGGACTTTCCCCAAGAGCTTCCTGAGTTACTACTCTCTTTGCTGAAATGGAACACAGCACCCAAGACGAAACACATACCACTAGCCTGATTTAGTTCCAATAGCTAAAACAGAAGAAAACGCGGAAGCCTAAGTGGTTTAATCTGTTATTCTTTTTTTACTGACAATGCTAAGTGACCTGAGCACCATCTAAATCAATTTAACTTCAAATGCAGCTAGAAACTGCATAAGAAAAACTCTAAATATGTAGAAGTCAAGAGAACCATGCTTAAAAGACCCAAGTTCCTGAGATTACAAAGCTAGACTGCTTAACTGAAATGTACGTAATGTCAAAGAACTGATACAGTGCTTAGGAAAATAAGTTACAGTTTTCTAGTAAGACAAGGACAATTTATACAAACAGGTCCATCTCAGCTTTTCTTTGTCTTTACATTTGACAATCTGTACTGCATCTAAGGAGAAATGACAATTTACTGTTTTTAAAACACAAGCATTTTTTGTGAAAAACAGAACTTCAATTTTAAAGCAGAGGTTGTCAACATAAATGGCCAACTAGCTCATAGAAAGGAGTAAGGAAAGCAAGGTGTAATCAAACTATGACGTGACGGGACCTACTGCAGAGCAGGCCTGACTAATGGACAGATGGCTGGTCGCTTAGCTCTAGTCAACTCAGGAGCACATCAATTGTTCAGTTGTTGCCTAAAGCAACTGTAGACTTGAAAAAACACACAAACACACACAACAAAACACAAAGTTACCAATTTTACACAGCAACTAATTTGAATTTTTTTTAAATTATGTGATCCACACAAATCACATCTCAGGCCTAAATTTAGCTTATGAGACCCGAATTTGACCTGTATCTTACAATATGGTTTTCTGATCAAATTTTTGTACATACTAATTTAGAATATATAATCTGCTTATGATTCAAAAGCTAAAACTATTAAAAAAATGCAACAAGAACGTGTTTCAGATTTCTCACACATATCTATACTCCTCCTCCCCCGTACTCCCAATGTCACACAGTGAAGTCCTTCTGACTGACAGCTTTCAAGCTACAAAAGCAGCTGAATGGATATCTTACCTACCCTGCCTGTTCTGCTTACTCACTGTTTTGAAGGCACAATTGTGAATAATTTTCCCATGTAAGGAAAAAAGGCGGCGATTTTTAAATTCTTTTTACTATAATAACTGTAGATATCTCTGGATATATCATTAGTTTCCTATTTCTCATTTTGTACAATTTTAGACATGCAAACTGATGACAGTCAGCAAAGATTTTAATATACAAATCTAGATAACCCAGGGAAGTGATATAAGTCCCCACATATGAGAAAGAATTTATAGAGAACTAGAGAGAAATTCTACCCAGTAGCTTCCCAAGCCAGAACATTTTAGGCTGCAAAGAAATCAGAGATTTCCTTGTAGAAATTAAAATTTGTCAAGGAAATAAATTAGTAATGTGATTATGAAATACTCTACTTCGGGGTCAAAGACTCTTTTTCACTAAGGAAGTTATTAATTACAAATTTTTCAACTTACCTAACCTCTGAGAAAATTCGTAAAATTTCTTTAATTTGCCTACTAGTGGAACAACTGCACCCCATGCCTTCTCTTGCAACTTCTCATCTGTTGGATGCTGAATTGCCTTCAAAATCCAAAGAATAAAAATACTTAGATTTTTTAAAAATCACAATCAGTATTTTTTTTACATTAACATAAAGGTTTTAGCAAATATAGGAGACTCTAGTATAATCTACAAAATACAGAATAATGGACCTAGGCATGCTGAGAATGAGTGCCCGCAACCCCATTTTCAACCTACTATCATTGATTCTAGCTTACCTGTGCAGTGGATATGGATATAATGGAATAAAAAATGACAACCCATGTTTTTAAAGTCTTGGTACGATTTAGAACTCCCCAACCTCCGCCTCACACATACACACGAACCACTTTACAGTTGCCCTTGTCATAGACAGGCTTTCTCAGAAGTTTGTTGTCAAAGAATTATTTAGTGTGATAAAAGGAAAACAAAAAAGGTAATAAATGAAATAAGATCCCAACTTTGGAACCAAGCTAAGAAACTTTCAGCAATTCAAATGCCAGTCTCCAAACCAACTTTAAGAAACCTACCATTTAAGTCAATGTAAAAATGTGATTTAGAAATTGTCAGATATTTATTCTCTGTAACTAAAATCCAAGTTTTCCTAGGCTTTCTTGAAAAGGTAGAAAACTAGTTTTAAATCTGAAAGGAGAAAAAAATAAAACATAATCTAGAGACCCCAGTCTGAGATTGCATCTTTCTATGATCAGTCTTTCAAACTCATAGACAATTACTCCCAAAGAGGTGTGTTTTCTTGCGTCTACCTTCCTTTGGCTTACCGATGCTTTCCATAATACTTTATGGAGCATAATGGCTCTGCTTGTTTCCTCTAGCATCTTCAAACAAGTTAAACACACCTAGCTGCTTATAATATTCTCGGGGGGGGGGGGGAATCTGCAGGTTTAGACTGTCCCAAGGTATAAAGAAACCAGACAGATTTAGAGGAAGCTCTGAATATATGTAAGCTACAAACTAAGAGGGTTACATATTGTTTAAGCAATTGCTTAAGCAGCAATATACAGCAGTTTACTGTATAAGTTTGCCGCTATGTTCAAATTTCCTCGTTATGTTTTTTTAACATAAAATGTTTCAAGTGATGCTGAAATAAAATAGAAGTCTGAAGTGAATCTCACTTATGTAATCATTGTATCATATGAATATTTCAAAAGAACTGTGATATTATTCTGATACATAAAAAAAATTATTTTAGCCTGATACTTAGTCTCAATGTTTTTTATCAAGCGGTAAGGATTCATTCATTTTATTTTTCAAGAAATAAACAAATAGATAAAATCAAGCTGGACAGAGACTATTAACCCACCAGACTGATCCTTCCCAATGTTAGTTACAGAGAAGAAAACAGAAACAAAAGGGGTTGGGGGTAGGAATAAACAAACTGTGGGCCATGCCTTCAAGAACCCTGGTAAAGTAGGGAGAGAGGGAGAGAGGAGAGAGGAGAGATGGGGGGAGAGGTAAAGGGGGAGCGGGGAGGGGGAGAGAGGGAAAGTGGAAGAGGGAGCGGCCAGTCAAGGAGCCTGGAACTCCCCTGAGTAGTCCAGCACATGAGTAAGTGGCTAGGCTGAGGGGAAGACGTCAATGAATGAAAAAAGATGTTAGTCTTGGTAAGAAGCAGGGACACAGCCTCTTTCAAAAACCAAAAGAAATGGAGAGAAACAGAAACCTGGATAAACTCAGAGATTTGGGAGAAGAAAGTTGAAGGAAATCACACAGGATGTTTGCTATGTTATGACATCATCAGACAGAAGTGGGGGGTCAGACTGCAAGGATAACTTAAAGCTCTCCTAGGAAGCCTTGGAGGATTGGGAAAAGTAGACCAGCCTCACAAAAAAGCCAGAAAGAGTTATGTTCTCAAAAAAAAAAAAAAAAAAAAAAAAAAAAAAAAAACCCTGTAAATAGTGCCTCCCATTGTAAATTTCAGGTTACAGCCAAAGGATAATTTTTTTTTTTAAGATTATTTATTTATTTATACAGGCACTGGGTACAAGCAGAAGCGCGGGAGGGTGAGAGAATTCACCAGAGCCAGAGCAGGGAACAGAACAGGCAGACTGACGAAGCACACTGCTAAGAGGAGCAGCGGGTGGCAGGAGAGGTCTGCGCGCCACATGGGACCCTGCGCGCCACGTGGGATCGAACCGGGGCTGCAGAGGCTGCGGGCAGTTTCGCAACCCTGCACTCAACCGCTGCACCACCGGGGAGGCCCCCAAAGGATAATTTTTAAATGTATATAATTTATAATTTACAAAACACCGTTTTCCTTTTACTCTAATATCATTGCATGTGAAATATTACCGAGATCTTCCTTTAAATATTTTATATGCAATAAAGCATTCTAAAATACAGAAAATAGATTAAAAACAGGAGGGACAGAAAATTTTATTTTATTAGAAAAATTTATAAACATGCTTTACCTCTCGTATTTCATGGCCAGCTCCTCTATATGACTGCAAGTCCTCCAAGATGCCTTCTGCATCTTTTAATACTACATTCACCTGATTATAAATTTCCTTCTCAGACTCTGTAGGCTGGGCATCTAAACAGCAGGGAAGCACAAGAAAACTTACAGTCACAAGACTTTTTTAGTGTATGTATAATTCTAAGCAGTTAATCTGAACTTCTAATAATGACTAACATTTTATTCAATGTTAACTTTGCATTTCTAAGATGGATAATTTTCCCATAATTCTAAGTTTGAATAGGTAAACTCAAGTTTGTAAATATCACAAGAAGCAACAGAAGATCAAACATTATCACTTATTTAAGTTACAAATCATGACTTGATATATTAAACAAATTTGAAAATTATAAAAAACAAAATTTGAATTTTGATAGTATTAATAGTCACTTTTTCTACTATATTCACCCTACCAGCCATGACTATAAGTGCATGGATATGATCTATTTTAATGCCAAAAAAAAAAAAGAAAGGTATACTAAAGAAACAATTTTCCTATAAAGTTAATTTTATCTTAAAGATTTATTTATTTAGGCATACAAGAACTGGGGTACAGGCCAGAGGTGCAGGGGCGGGGGTGAGAAGATTCACCAGAGACAGAGTGGGGAACAGAACAGGCAGACTGACTGAAATACACTGCTGAGAGGAACAGCGGGTGAGACAGGAGAGGTCTGTTGTGCCATGTGGGTAGCTCCCTGGCCAGCCTGGGATCAAACTCTGCGACAGAGGCTGCAGATAGCTTCCCAGTGCTGTGCTTAACCCCTTGCGCCACCAGGGAGGCCCCTAAAGTTCATTTTAATGACAGAGTTGTGTTATAAAAAAATAAACTTTTTTTTTAAAAAGACTAGTTTTTAAATGCACCCCTTATTCTAGGGATCATTTAAATACTGGACCAGTGTGATTCTCTGCTGATGCACACAAGGTCAAGACTCCTGTGCAGAGAAGATCCAATTACCAAGCTGTTCCAATTACAGGGCTAAAACCTCCATACCAAACACTATCGCTAAAAGCTGGAAATACTAAAGCAAAAACTGAGTTCCTTATATACTTAGGACTAAGTGAGAGAAAAATGAAGGGAGAACTGTAGCTACAAAAAGCATAATGGGAACACAAACAGATGGGCATTCCACCACCTGCGGTGTTAGCCACAAAACATATGTTAATAGATGACTAACCTGGACTTCTCTCAGCTAGACTCAAGTTAACAGAAATCTTGTTTTTAATAACTTGGTCATGTGTTTCTCTAAAAATAAATCTCTTTATTTAATACATTAGAGGGTCGTGGTTTTTTGTTTTTGTTTTGCATTGTTTTTGGAGAAAAGGGAAATTTATGAGGGAAATTCATGAGTTTTTCATAAATGTTTCCAGCTAAACTACAATCAGTACTATAGATTAGGCATAAAGCATGTCAAAATGATTGACATTATGATTACCATAATGTTTAAAGAGAAATTATACTAACAGAATTTCTCCATGCTGAAATTCTCTCTTATGGGAGCAGGGGAGGCAAACCAAATTTGTATGATTTAAAACATTGTTAATATATCTCCCTACCATACCTACTTCATCTCCTCACAAATACACAATGATCTATTCTTTCTCTGGGAAAATTTTCTTAGAAAATTTGAAAGAAATTAAGTTTATAAATAACACTAGGACTGGAGATGCCTAAATAACTTTATTTTGTGCTTGGGGCAAGTCAAAACTCAATTCTACCTATTACACCTGCCAACTAGTCAAAAATCTACCACATTTTTAAAAAATCAACAATTATAGCACCAAATATTAAATGCAACATTAAAACAGTACTTACAACGATAATAAAATAACATTTGATGTGCAAAGTCAACTAAAGAATTTGTGCTCTCATCTGTTTTCTTGTTTTTCAAATTTCTTTTAAGAGATCATGTGATTTTTTTTAAATGCAAACATTATGACAAAATAATGATATAAGAGAGGCCAACTGAAAAGTTAAAAAAATTGTCCAAAGATATAAAGGAACAAATATCAACATTATAGCTTAATGGTTTCTTAAAAGTCAGGGTTTATTATTAAGCAGTAGTATTTTTTCACATTTTGCCAGACCAAATTCTCCAAAGTAAAAGACACACACTAAAAAAAGTTTATCTCAAAACTTTTATACTTACACCAGATAGAGTAGAAATAAATATTTTACATGCAAAACAGCCATTTTACACTTTTTCACATGGAATCGTGAAACTACAGACATAACATCAATAGTAGACACATATCATAGTTTGAATTCATGAAGTGGGAATTCATGACAAAGGAAAGTATTTTTTTTTTAATAAATCAAAAGGTATTTCTGAAGCTTGAAAATATTAAACTTTTATGTATTTTTCGTGTGGTGACAAGCTTGTTAACAGAAAAACGTTGACACTGAGACTATTATACAAAAGAAATATTAAGTAGATATAAATAGACCTTGGAAGTGATTAATAATTATTAATGATTTAATAAGCACCAAGAAATTTAAAAATAAAGAAGATTACAGTTTCCCTAAGGGTAGAAAAAAATACCCAGCACCACACTGATCAAACATTTTTTAGAATGTCACAGGAAAGTCACATTTATAATTTTGAAAGCTGCTGAAGACTGCTGTAGAAATGAAGACAAACAGAAAATAGCAGACAGGTAAGCACTACTGTACTGAGAGCAAGTCATGCAAAAGGTTGAAGTACTGGGGAGGGGGAAAGACTAAAATAAAGTACTTTATTCCCTTCAAAAAAATGTATCATAAAATGCAACCAAGACTTGTCACTTTGATTTTTCATAGCAAAAAATGAAAAATTGCATTCATTATTTGAAGAAAAATATACCACTTAGCCAGCTAATAAAAGGACACTCATTTGACTGGAAAATAATTATTAATGAGATTAGGCAGAGTGATTTCTGATGGAGGCTAGTTTTAAAAACTGTTAAAGGGAAATTAAACCGTAATTCAGTTGCTTTTATTATCTGAAGGTAAAATTAGATACTTTAATAATTTCACACCAATTTCCTATAGGAGTCACTAAAAAGAACGGCTAACATTGTAGTTGTTAATGGTACAAACGGAGGCAAATATCACTTACAAAAGGAAATGAATAAAATGCAAGTCACAAAAAAATTATAATCGTACTAATGGTCTTTCTGTTTTAATCTTGCATACATTCATTCAGTAAATATTTACAATCTATCCTAATAAATTTCACTGAGCAGGGAGCTCAATGTATAATACATAAGCTGTATAGTATTAAACACAGCATCCCATAGATGTTCTATAATAAATGTTTATTGAGTGAATGAGAAGGTAGAGAGTTACAAAAATGCCTCCAACAGGAACTAAAGGAGGCTACTGTGCCCCTTTGTCTCCAAACAAATATAATCCTACATCATTTTAGAAAAATATATGTAAGAAAAGACCACCAAAATAAAGAAATTCCAAAGTTCAGGGCAAATGCAATTGAAAATATGCAAGAGGTAAAATGAGGTTAGACTAAAAGAGTTGGTGTCAATATTTTTAAAAGATGGGGTGGTGGGGGAAACAGGTAAACACAAAAGACACAAGAATTAGAGGAAATGTACAGCTAAATGGAAAGGCACTATTTAACAAAGGAGAGAGGAAGTAAGATTCTATTTCTCCTTGACAAATGACTATCTGTACTTACTATCCTATTTTGGTCTGCCTGGAAATGAGTCAATCAAAGTTAACTAACAAATACTTAACTTCTCTCATTTACAAAGCACTGTGCTAAGGTTGGGAAGGGACATCAAAATAAAGTCCTTCTCCCAAGAACCACAATTTAATGAGCTATTATAGTAGCTGTAGTTGTTACTCAGGCTAATGGTTTGTCATTGGAATGAGTTATAAATTAACACTGTCATTATAAAATAGGAAATTATAAGAACTAGAAGACGCTATATAGGTCACAACTGTCATCTGCATATGCTATTATTAGCTTAACTGCTGCCAAATTTTATGGGGCAACCCTGGGCTTCTATCTTGACTGAGTCATTATTTTTAAAATAAAATCTTAACAAACGGATTGAAGAAAAAGTCCCTTTTTCTTATACCTCTAGAGTAAGGAATATAGTTTCATTGAATACAGAATGTCATTTCATGCTCTCAAGGCCTTTTATACATATTGTTCTATCTATAACCCTTTACTAAATTTTTTAAGCCTCAAAAATTCTATTTCATTTCCACCACCAGAAAGTCCATGTCTAATTACTAACTGCTAAGTAAAGTTAATCCCTCTGATATACATCTTGAATGCAACATATGTAAATGAAATTACTAGTTTGCATTTCTGTCTATCCTGTAAACAGCAAGAACTCCCCAAAGGCACTGACTGAGTATCTTTGTAGCCTCACCACCTATAAGTATCTTTGTATCCTCACCACCTATACAACTGGTAAGTCATGTGTGTTGAACTAAAATGAAAAACAGTAAATGCATGCACACACATGAATTAGGGGAGTAATGATTTACTTTAAAGACATAGTCTTCATTTTATAAACTGCAGGATTCCATTAAATCCTGTTTTTAAAATACTGGAATAGTTCGACTGTGTGTGTGTGTGTGTATATATATATATATATATATATATATATATATATAGCTTGAAGCAATACACCAGTTAATCACTCTGTATGAAATTATTTCTATAGCTGTCCAATCATGGATATACACTGAGCTAGATTTAACCAGTTAGAAAAAAATGGAAGTTTTACTAAATATTCCTGTTCATACAGAAATGAACAATGTGCTGCTAAGTTACTGAATAAAAGATTGTGGTTTTATTCTAAGTAATCATTAGGAAGTGGCAAATCAACTGTATTAGCAATTTTGATGCTGCTACAAAACAGTTTAAGAGAAGACCCATCTGAAGGGTTGCAGTCACTATGATGGGAAGTCTAATGATAACGTAAACTTTTGAACATGTATTCAAAAAGAAGACAAATATGCAAATTGGTAAGATAAATCTAATAAATAATAACAGGAAAACGCTGGCCTACTATAAACTATGTTTTCACTAAATTTGATTTACAGTGCACTAGTGTTAAATCAAAAGTTCTATGTTGACTGATATAGGCAACAAATACAATTTTTTAATTTATATCTGCCATTAAGAATTAGTTCTTCATTATTGGTTATTACTGTTGCTTTGTTTGCATTTTTATCCTTATCCTGCCACTAAATTAGCTATTCAAATTTTAAAGATAATGAGTCAAACCCCACATATTGGAAAACCAAGAACAAACAGAATTGTAAGTACTCCATTAAAAATGCATGCTTCTTACTTGAACTAAACATAATGCTAGACTTATAAAAAGATCAAGTGCCAAGTCTTGAACAAGATCTTGACTGTATCAAAGCCAAGATTCTGCAATGGAAGGAATTTGGGACAAAGAGTAAAAAAGAGACAGAATAGCAGAAAAATACACAAGACCAAGTTTGAAACAGATGCAAATAAACTAAAATACAGCTCTAGTAATGTAAGTTGCCTCATCTGAAAGAATACTGTTCAAGTCAGCAATCTGCTCAACATCCCCAAGCTGATTAAAATTCATGCTAAACATGCACTTCAAATAGCACTGTTAAATTGTTGAGAAGGGTCAAGAAAATGAACATTCACTTGGTAACATTTTCCCCTAAAAACCCAACAATTTAATATGGTCCTGATATTGACATTGCTACTCTTTGCTAAGATGTACACAGTACCTAAACTGTAACAGAACATCTGTAGGAATGCACAAGTAGAAAAATATCAGAGACCACAAATTACTCCACAAAATGGAGACAGGCTATAAATTGATGTGTTCATCTGAACTGTCCTGTTTTTAAGAAAAACATATATGAATTATACATAAAATAAAATGAATTCTAGAATATCACATAAACTTAAGTTGATAGAAAATTCAAAGATTCTCTCAGAATTTATTTTAAGGGATTTATTTATTTTGCTTTCAAAACCAGAAAAAAATTAAAATTTTAAATATTTAAATATCTGTTCCAATGTTTTAATCTCAGATAAAATGCAAAGGATCGAATGATTTATAATCTAAAGACTATCTCTTCACCCTTTCCTAACAATTTTCTAATGAACAGTTAAAATAGCAGCATTCATACCAAAACACCAATTTAATGCCATTGTTTCATATGACAGACAAGCGAAAGCAATACTGACAGCCACGAAAGCAAAAGCTTTTCAACATGCATGGGCGTCAATGACACTTACCTGCCACTCTTAGACCATATTACAATAGGTCATGCAACATAAAACAAACAGAAGGCAAATTACTCAAAGGTCTGTGAACCCATTATTTTTCTCTTTATTTAGAATTAGAAAAAAATAATTCCTGGAATAAATACATACAATGAAGTTTTTCAACTTTTCAAATTATCTGCAAGATTAAATAATTTAGGTTCACACTTACCTTTTAATATTATGCCCAAATTACTGAGCTTTGAATGGCCTTCATGAACAGATTTGTATTTAAAATACTTTAATATTTACAGAGTAATTGAAGCCTAGTGAATTTTTCTCAAGTGCATTAAATTTTCCCCAAATATGCTTCTATTAACAAATGTTGAAGTAGCATTTGTTGTTTCCACCAAAATTTTTCATAGAAATGTTTTCATTGGAGAATAGATTTCAAATTATAAAATAATGTCCAACTAGGAGATATGAATTTCTCATAAGAATTCAAATAAAAACATCTTATCACAATTCAATCTATGAAATATTATTTCCAGTTCTAGAAGGCACCAGAAATTTTACTCAAACAATTCATAGCTCAGTCATGCAAAGCAGTTAAAAAGATGGCAAAGTGGGAACATTCATTTAGAGCAAGACAAACGCAGTCTACTGCAGGCAAAGAGAAATAGATATAAAATCATCTTCTCACTTTCAAAATCAAGGAAAAAATTTGGCCCCTGCTCAAGGTCTGTGCATGTCAAAACTTTAAGAAGATTCCCCATGTTAAGGTACCTGTCAAGACAAGAATGAGAAAAGAGAAAATATCCCTTTATAAAAAAGAACATCTGAAATTTATTTTTTAAAAAATAGTAACAGGGAAAATGTTCATTAGGCCATGAATTCGTCCTTCAGGTTACCCAGACTGTGCTCTGGCAGACAGCAAACCGGGTTCTCAAGGTGTTGATATGTAGGACCTAGAGGTGAAATGTGGTTTTCCTGTACACAATGGCACAACAGTTGCTCTAATTCTTCTCAATATTCTCCCAAGACAAGTTTCATTAATGGCCTTATAATGAAAAATTCTGTAAGTATTCCAATAGTGCTAGTATTCTGAAAAAGAAATTTCTGATCAAGAATTATTCACAACTAAACTTATTTAATACAGCATTGAAACAATTTACTTTAAAGCCAAATATTAAAGCAAAATTTTGGTCACAGCTCACCTTTACATTTCATCTTAAAATGGCAGAATATTCAACTTACTTCCTGTATGCCATTAAACACAGCATTATGTTTCTAACCAAATTTGGATTATTAATTGGTGGAAGTTATTTAAATGTTGATTCTGGATAGGTCGCACCATTATGATTTTTTTACAGAATTTCCATAGACTCTAAGCAGACACACCGCTGGGCTCAGCCACTAAGGCATACTGTTAGAACGTTCATCATAAGGCTGCTTGCTGCATGGACTGATGAAAGCACAGCACTGGCTACAGATGCCACATGATTTTAGCAAATGAAAAACTAAAGAATTATACATATGATGGTGATGTTTGCCTACAATTAAGAAAAAAAATCATGCAAACTTTGTTTGATCCCCGTATTTTATCAACAAATATTCTGGCTGGCCTTCACTGTGGTGTGAATATAATTGATTTTTCACCTTTACCATTATACACCAGCTGTGAAGGGCTAGAGAGACTTACTTTCAAAGTCCAAGAAAAAATGTGCTGCATTGTGGTCTATGTCCCTGGTTAGCACCTTAATGAGATTACCCATGCCAGCAAACCTAAAAATAAAAATGGCAACATCATTTAGTTCCAGTAAAAAAAATTTTAGCAGAGGCCTGGGATTCGGCAAAGGCTGGCTTGCTCATAATTACCAACAGGTGCAGTTTTATATGCTTTTGGCATTGAAAATTTGGAATAACAAAAGCACTTTTGGCTCTGAGTTTATAATTTTTGTCCTTCTTTTCCACATAGCAAAAAAGTTACATGAAGATTAGAAAAAAGATTAGGTTTTTACATATAATTGGCAATATTTACACGTGATTAATAGCTATGCTAGTGTTACTCCTTAAAAATGTTTGAAAAATATATTCTCAATTTAACATCAAAAATAAATCTTGCAAATTTTGAGACCATTACTTTTCAATAATAGGGATATTTTCCTTCTTACAGAATCAAATCCTAATGGGAATATAAGGAAGACAGTATTGAAACCACATTTACCCATTAAAGATTAAGGGAAGTTATTAAATAATGACCATTTAAAAAAATTACCACACAGAAAAGAGTATCTGTACATGTCCATACTTCTAAGATTAATCACTTTCTTTTACTTAAATCTTTGGTTGAATATTCAACCATATCAACTACATATACAAGGAATGTAACTTACATTAACATATTAAACAAGCACAAAAGGGAGGCAGCAATTCTCACAACCTAGCAAATTTGTAGGAGCAACCAGTAAAAATCAGGCATTGGCATAAATCATGCCCAAGAATGTGCCACGACTCAGCAAGGCTGAAGGTGGAAGGTGGTGTCAGGAACATCCAGAAAACCAAAGTTAGTCCCGGAAGCTGCAGTGAGTACAAGGAAGGCAGACTACGGCAGAGATGCCCCACGCATTCCTCTCCCCCAATCTCAATACTTGTTCTGCAAATACGGAAATGCTGGCAAATATAAATGAAACAAAACATAAAAGTAACAACATTTTTATCTTGGAAAGAAGATTCCTTATTACTCACCCCCTACTATAAGATGTTTGTAAAGAACATTTGGCCACCTGTGCTGTTCCCCTTCCTCCACCTACTTCCCTGCACAAGGGTGCATGTTTCTAACGCAAGCTTTCAGAAGAGGAAATACATACATATGCCTCACAGTGAATTGTTCTACAGGTCAAAACCTGATAGTGGCACAGACATTTCTTAGAAATTATTAAAAGCAATCTAATTTATTCCCAAACATGGTAAACGCTGAAGGTTCCCTCTCCTTTAAAATTATATTCCCCAATGGGAGAAGTAGGGAACTACCTTATTTTTTGATATTAAAAAATCTTTATAAAGATTTCAATGAACCGATTTTGCACAATGTTTTATGTGACTGTATTAGTGAAAACAAAATTCAAAAAATATACCCTCTTGTTTCTACATATGTAAAAATTTAATACTACCACACTTTTATTCATAAAGAAAAATATAAAGATTTTCCCAAAATCACATCCAAATAATTATCTAAAAATGATTAAAGATTTTCCCAAAATCACATCTGAATAATTATCTAAAATTGATTACTAAATGAATTCAATAGATTTTTTAAGGAACCAGCTGAAAATAAAGTATTTCAGAGCTTTGAAAAAAAAAAAAAAACTTTCAAATATATGTGGAATGTAATGATTCCAAACACATATAAATTCATTAACAAGAACTGAGACCAACTACACAAAAAATTACCTAGTGTACCAAAACTTCAACTAGAGATGGAAAATAAGCATGAGAAAGGACAGTAATTGTATTTAAGAAGAAAAAGGCTGGTTTGCAAGTTTAGTCAATGAATTAAATCAGAATTCCAACTCTGGCTTACTAGCTGCCTGACCTTGCTACCTAACCTTTCTGGGACTCATTTCTTCATCAGTAAAACACACATCATAGTAATTACTGTCTTACAGGGTCATTACAAAAATTTAATGAGATTCAGCACTGACATCTTAGCACACTGTCTGGCACACAGAAGTTTTCAACAAATGTTGGCTGGTATCATCCTTTGAGCCCAAAACACACAAAATAACCTTCTAAAGGTAATAGTGGCTTCATTTCTTTTAATACAAACCAGAGTCTTCAATTCAGCAATAACTTTCAATGTTATAAATCACAGTAAACATCTTTAGTCCATTTCTGTCAAACAAACTATTGGTGAAATGCTGTCCTAAAATTAATCCTATGAGCAGAAAACCATCACTGGGTACAGGAGGGAGGGAGAGGAAGACTAGGTTTCCTTACCTTTTTACTTGTACGCCTAAGTCAATCCTCAGGGAAGACACTGAAACTGGCCAAGCTGATCTGCATCATCTTCCTGCACCCCCTTCTGTAAACTTCTTCCACTATTTAGTCCTTCTTTCCAGGCACCCCACCCTAAAATGGCTCTACACCCACCTCACCCTGTATATATATTTAGCCCTGGGCTATTCACGCCGTGAGTGCCCAAGATTGACAACTTTTTACCTCTTCATCCCAAACATAAGACATTCAGTTTGCAAATGGCCCAGTTTATCTAGTGCAGGGTTTCTCAACCTCAATCTGCTGCCATTTGGGTTGAGATTTTTCTATTGTGGAGGGTGTCTTTCTCACATTATAGGACCTTTACCAGCATCCTGGACCTACATACACGAGATGCCAATAGTAACCCACCACACAAGCTGTGATAACCAGAAGTGTTTGTCAAACATCCCCTCTTCAAAATTACCCCTGGCCGAGAACCACCGATATTGCCCAATGCAGAACTCTACCATACACCGCACAGGTCAGAGAGCACCTAAACAACCACATGTGTCTTTTTTGAACAAAATCTCATGGAATTATTCAAAGATCTAAAAACAGGCCATTATATTATTTGTTGTCATATCTTTGTGACATAAGGATATGCAGTGACAAGGATATATGAAAAACTTAAAAGCATATCCCTACCTTGCATATTTTAATGTTTTGCCCAAGACAAATACAAAACTTCTATCCCATCAGTGTAACTGATTTCAAATATATGATACAGAGCTATCAACTCTAGCTGGTACCAGTGGGTATCTGACTGCCTGGGTCTAAACCCTCAGCTCTGCCATTTCTAAGTTTTGTGACTTTAGTCAACTCTCCTAACTTCTCCATGCCTACAGCTTCTCATTCACGAAGGATGCATAATAGTAATGTCCACTGCAGAGTGTTCAGAAAGTCATTAAATGGGTCACTGAAAGCAAAATGTTTAATGCCATGCCTGCTATTACTAAGGCTGTTGTCAGAGCAACCTGACTGGCCGACATAACCTGTTCCCAGTACAGAACTCATGGAACAAGAGGCAGCCACACTATCTGTCATAAAAGCCCATCTGTCACCAAAAGAGACACAGCAAGATTTCTCTCTCTTTCTGTAGCTGCTTTTCCCTAACCTGGAAGGCTCTCTCCACAGACCTTCAAAGACAAGCACTGCACTTCATTCAGGCTGGTGCTCAAGATCTCAGAGAGGGCTTCCTGGATCAACCCATCTACACTGTCTCTTCCCCTCTTTCCTCTCCATGCCCTTCCCAAATTCCTAAATGGAATCTGACTGGTATAGAGGAAGTTCTACAGAGTAGCTTAATCCCCAACACTATTGAATCTGCTATCGTCAGGAACTAGTGCAGGTACTAAACATTGGTTCTCTTTCCTGTGAAGCAGGATTCAGGAGTGACTGTTTCTATCATGGGACCAAATCTCACCATTAATCCCTGGCACATGTAAAGAGCAATATATTTTATTTAGCCTGGTAATTACATGGAATTAGGGTACTTGACTTAAATGTGTGGGGTGGAAATGGGGAGACCTGACATCTAATCTTGAATCTCATAAAATATTTGACTTAACACTAATTGGTTTTCTCATCATATTGAATCTCTCACACAGCTTCTGGCTGATTCTGCACGTTACACGGCATCTTTCCTAATGCTGACATCTAGTGGACACACTTAGATTTAGGATTTTAAAAGGAAAAAGTCTTATTTAGACTATTTTAAGTAAATAACTCTAGGATGTGTGGCCACATGCGATAAATATCATCAACTAGGAGACCAATAACATTCCTCAGGTAAAATACCTGAGGCTGTCCCAGCCCTAAAGTGTGCTCGGAGACGACCAGTACTCGTGCTGCTCCATGCCAGCCATAAAAATTTAAGCCACCAAATGCAAATGACTGCCTGAGTTGCAAATTTAGAACAAAAAAGCAAGGAAATGCTTCCTGCTACAATGTCTTTCATCAGGTTACAAAGTGTATGAAAAAAGCTAGTATAATGTTGCATAGTAAGTAATTTAGGAGTGTTTATAATGGCATATGATGGAAATAAAAACAAACCATAAAAAAACACCCAAAATCAAAGTTGCCTATAAGGTTTCTCTTGAAAAAAAAAAATAATTAGACCAAAAAAAGTATTTTGAATTTATTTTCTTAAAACTTCATGCTACTTTCAAATCCATGAAAAAATGAAATACATATATGCCTATATATAAAAATGACATGTGTATATATCTAAATGGAATACTACATACAAAATTTAAGACACCCGTTACCCTGGGGAGAAAAAGAACCACAGGACCAGGAAACTTTCAAGATGTCTGAAGGAATTCTAGCGCCTCAATTACTGGCGGATCCATGGTCTTTTATTTTTAGGCTCTTAAATTTAAAAATAAGGTATATACATTCTTTTGTATGTATCAACAAGTTCTTTAAAAATCTTAGATGTAAAAGTCATTGATGCCTAGAGATCACACGTGATCCCTCAAGACGCCCGGGGACCACCACAGGAAACAGCGCTGAGGGGAGCAGCGGGGGACCCGTCCCTCCGCAGCACGCGTGAGGCTGGCGGGGCTTCACACACAGCCTCACCAGCATAGAAGGCCTGGGCAGTTCCGCATCTGGGGCTCACAGTGCCTGGCAGTGGTGGTTGTTTTAACCCCCCCAACCACCACCTTCCCTAAGCGCTGCCTCCCAGGCTGTGACAGCCACGGCAGGCTTTCACACAGAAATGTGCAAATGCCACTAGGAACACA